ATTTCGTTTGAGATGGAATATTGTATTGCCCAACATTTTCCACAGCACCTGATATCTATCTCGTTTGAGATGTAATATTGTATTGCCCAACACTTTCCGCAGTAACTGATATCTATCTCGTTTGAGATGGAATATTGTATTGCACAACACTTTCGGCAGTACCTAATATCTATCTCGTTTAAGATGGGATGTTGTATTGCACAACACTTTCCGCAGAACCTGATATCTATCTCGTTTGAGATGGAACATAGTATTGCACAACATTTTCCGCAGTACCTGAAATCTATCTCGTTCAAAATGGGATGTTGTATAACCCAACACTTTCAGTAATACTTGATATCCATCTCGTTTAAGATGGAATATTGTATTGCCCAACACTTTCCACAGTGCCTGATATCTATCTCGTTTGAGATGGAATATTGTATTGCCCAACACTTGCTGCAGTACCTGATATTTATCTCGTTTGAGATGGGATATTGTATTGCCTAATATTTTCCGCAGAACCTGATATCTACCTCCTTTGAGATGGGATATTGTATTGCCCAAAACTTTCCGCAGCACCTGATATTTATCTCGTTTGAGATGGGATATTGTATCGCCCAACACTTTCGGCAGTACCTGATATCTACCTCGCTTGAGATAAGATATTGTATTGCCCAACAATTTCCGCAGCACCTGATATTTATATCGTTTGAGATAAGATATTCTATTGCCCAACACTTTCGGAAGTACCTGACATCTACCTCGTTTGAGATGGGATATTGTATTGCCCAACACTTTCCGCACGACTGATATTTATCTAGTTTGAGATAAGATATTGTATTGCCGAACACTTTCGGCAGTAACTGATATCTATCTCTTTTGATATGGGATATTCTATTGTCCAACACTTTCCGCAGCACCTGATATTTATCTCGTTTGAGATGGAATATTGTATTTCCCAACACTTTCCACAGAACCTGATACTTACCTCGTTTGAAATGGATATTGTATTGCCCAACACTTTCCGCAGTTTCTGATATCTGTCACGTTTGAGATGGTATATTCTATTGCCCAACACTTTCCGCAATACCTGATATCTATCTCGTTTAAGATGGAATATTGTTTTGCACAACACTTGCTGAAGTACTTGATACCTATCTCGTTTTAGATGGAATATTGTATTGCTCAACACTTTCCACAGTACCGGATATCTATTTCGTTTGAGATCAAATATTTTGTTGCCAAATATTTTCTGCAATACCTGATATCTATCTCGTTTAAGATGGAATTTGCATTGTACAACACTTTCGGCAGTACCTGATATCTATCTCATTTAAAATGGAATTATGCATTGCACAACACTTTAAGCAGCACCTCATATCTTTCTCGTTTGAATTGGAATATTGTGTAGCCCAACACTACCGGCAGTACCGGATATCTATTTCGTTTGAGATGGAATATTGTATTGCCCAACATTTTCCGCAGCACCTGATATCTATCTCGTTTGAGATGTAATATTGTATTGCACAACACTTTCCGCAGTAACTGATATTTATCTCGTTTGAGATGGAATATTGTATTGCACAACACTTTCGGCAGTACCTAATATCTATCTTGTTTAAGATGGGATGTTGTATTGCCCAACACTTTCCACAGAACTTGATATCTATCTCGTTTAAGATGGGATTTTGCATTGCACAACACTTTCCGCAGAACCTGATATCTATCTCGTTTGAGATGGGACATAGTATTGCACAACATTTTCAGCAGTACCTGATATTTATCTCGTTTGAGATGGGATATTGAATTGCCTAATACTTTCCGAAGAATCTGATATCTACCTCGTTTGAGATGGGATATTGTATTGCCCAACACTTTCCGCAGCACCTGATATTTATCTCGTTTGAGATGGGATATTGTATCGCCCAACACTTTCGGCAGTACCTGATATCTACCTCGCTTGAGATAAGATATTGTATTGCCCAACACATTCCGCAGCACCTGATATTTATCTCGTTTGAGATAAGATATTGTATTGCCAAACACTTTCTGCAGCACCTGATATCTACCTCGTTTGAGATGGGATATTGTATTGCCCAACACTTTCCGCAGCACCTGATATTGATATCGTTTGAGATAGGATATTGTATTGCCCAACACTTTCGGCAGTATCCGATATCTATCTCCTTTGATATGGGATATTCTATTGCCCAACACTTTCCGCAGCACCTGATATTTATCTCTTTTGAGATGGAATATTGTATTGCTCAACACTTTCCGCAGAACCTGATACTTACCTCGTTTGAGATGGATATTGTATTGCCCAACACTTTCCGCAGTACCTGATATTGATCTCGTTTGACATCGGATATTGTATTGTCCAACACTTTTCGCAGTACCTGATATTTATCTCGTTTGAGATGGTATATTCTATTGCCCAACACTTTCCGCAATACCTGATATCTATCTCGTTTAAGATGGAATATTGTTTTGCACAACACTTGCTGAAGTACTTGATATCTATCTCGTTTTAGATGGAATATTGTATTGCTCAACACTTTCCGCAGTACCTGATATTGATCTCGTTTGACATCGGATATTGTATTGTCCAACACTTTTCGCAGTACCTGATATTTATCTCGTTTGAGATGGGATATTCTATTGCCCAATACTTTCGGCAGTACCTGATATCTACCTCGTTTGAGATGGGATATTGTATTGCCCAACACTTTCCGCAGCACCTGATATTTATCTCGTTTGAGATGGGATATTGTATTGCCCAACACTTTCCGCAGCACCTGATATTTATCTCGTTTGAGATGGGATATTCTATTGCCCAACACTTTCGGAAGTACCTGATATCTACCTCGTTTGAGATGGGATATTGTATTGCCGAACATTTTCCTCAGTACCTGATAACTTCTTCGTTTAAGATTGGATATTGTATTGGCTCAAACTTTCCGCAGTACCGGATGTCTATCTCGTTTGGGATGGAATATTGTACTGCCCAACACTTTCCGCAGTACCGGATATTTATCTCGTATGAGATTGGAATTTGTATTGTCAAACGCTTTCGACTGTTCATGATATTTTGTCCAACATTTTCTACACTTTTTGCAGCACCTGATATTTATCTAGTTTGAGAGGGGATTTTGTATTGCCCAGTACAAAATCTATCTATTAAAATTGAACACTTTATAAATTTCGTGCGACCGAAGCGATATTCTATATTTCTCTACATCAGAGTTATGAATTTATTAAACAGAGACTAATTGGTTTGATACTACTTGTCTGTTATATAAGTCAGATTAGGTTCTCATTAAGGAAATTTTACATCTCAGAAACTTTTTGCACTCTTTGAAGTGGTTTTGAGCGGTTTAGCTAGCTTTAAAACCAGGTTTAGTCCACCATTTTCTACAAAAGGAAATGCCTGTACCAAGTCAGGAATATGACAGTTGTTTTCCATTCGTTTGATGTGTTTGCGCTTTTGATTTTGCCATTTGTAAAGGGACTTTTCGTTTTAAATTTTCCTTGGAGTTCGGTATTTTTGCTATTTTACTTTTTATCATGTTTATTATTGTTTCGTTGTACTTATGTTTTTGTTTTCTATCATACCGTTATTTAAGAGTAATTTCTATCCCTGCATTTCTATGTCCTGAAAGAAAACATAAAAACAAAACAATATTTGACTTTTTCGGAATAAATAAAAATAAACAGGATTTTTAATTTGGCAATTGAACTTAGTTATCTGGATATCCTGAATTACTATTTGGTTCAAAATAATTTATGAAAATTTCATTTGTGTGTCTGTTTTCCTTTATCGGTTGCTTGTAGGTTTTGGTAAATTGACTGAACGAAAAACATTCTTTCAACATCAATACCAAAGAGAATGAACTTAAATTGCATCGGGCGAAAAGATGCTAGTATCTAAATCAAATGGATACCAGTAACCAAAATAAATTAAGTCAAGGCATCATTTATATATAGCTGGGGTGGCAGCGTCCAGATAACTGCCAATTTTCTTGATGATTCCAACAGCGTGCTACGGCTGCAGACCGTCATTTCAAAAGAAAGCAGTAATTTTAAATCTTCCATGATAATTTGTTATCTTCCACATGGATAAGAATTCGGAATAACGACACACACCGAACAGAAATTGATTGTCGTACAAGAATTCGGAATAACGACACTCATGCAACAGAAATTGATTGTCGTACAAGAATTCGGAATAACGACACTCATGCAACAGAAATTGATTGCCGTACAAGAATTCGGAATAACGACTCATGCAACAGAAATTGATTGCTGTACAAGAATTCAGAATAACGACACTCATGCAACAGAAATTGATTGCCGTACAAGAATTCGGAATAACGACACTCATGCAACAGAAATTGGTTGCCGTACAAGAATTCGGAATAACGATACTCATGCAACAGAAATTGATTGCCGTACAAGAATTTGGAATAACGACACTCATGCAACAGAAATTGATTACCGTACAAGAATTCGGAATAACGACACACATGCAACAGAAATTGATTGCCGTACAAGAATTCGGAATAACGACACACATGCAACAGAAATTGATTGCCGTACAAGAATTCGGAATAACGACACTCATGCAACAGAAATTGATTGTCGTACAAAAATTCGGAATAACGACACACATGCAACAGAAATTGATTGCAGAATAAGAATTCGGAATAACGACATACACACAACAGAAATTGATTGCCGTACAAGAATTCGGAATAACGACACACACACAACAGAAATTGATTGTCGTACAAGAATTCGGAATAACGACACACATGCAACAGAAATTGATTGCCGTGACAATGTATTTGGTTCTTATTATTTTTTGTTAATCCCCCTATTTTGACTGCAATAATTTTCTGATTAATCTATTGCTTACTAATATACATACGTATCTCTCGTCACCAAAGAACAATAGAAACATAAAATTCATGAAAAAAATACTATATAAAGGTACTTTTTATTTTTTGAAACCCGTATCATAAAATATTTGTACAAACGATTGAGACAAAATATTTCTGAATGCAGAATTATGACCTGTCGACCACATTGTCAACGAAGCTCAAGTTTTGTTATAAACTGGTCTGTGCAGATATGTATTTGTTCTGTGCAGATATGTTAACTGGTTTCATAGATATATAACTACCTCTATCATTCTGAATTAGTGATCGACTCCTTATAAGAGTTGGAGTTAAAGAGTGTCGATCCTCAAGGTAATATGAGTACATGGAGTACATAGAGTCTGGTCTTGGACGTTTCACTCGAGGAGGGTCACACAAACAATGATAACAGAATATACAGCACGTATCATTCTCTATGTCATAGCTGCATTTCTTCGGATTTATATCTTCTAGTTGGTTTTGTTCAATACGACATAAAGTTTTAAAGCCTGATATCAATTTCCATAATAGTTCCCTCCGCAATAAAATATAGACCCATGGATCTAGAATTTGATTAAGTGACGCAATTCTTATCACGAATAAATCCAAATGAACATTTCGTGGTAATAATCCTGTTTGGTTTATTATGATTCTTGCCTGAAAACATAAAGTACATATTAGTAAAATACAATTGGAAAATGTGTACGTGTAAGTAAACTAGATCAGGTCCTGACAACGAATCCGGTTTGAACAAATATTCTTTAACCTTTATTCGGGTAGGAACAAATTCTGCAATATTCCAAAATATGTCTTCCATTTGGAACTAATATTATGGAGGAACTTCTTATTCATGACATTATCTACATATACGTATCATAAACTTAATACTATAGTGGCTCCTATAAGTTGGAACAGTACCTACCATAAGATACATGTACACGTAAAATAAACTTAATACTACAGTGACTCCTATTAGTTGAAATAGTACCTACCATAAGATACATATACACGTAACATAAACTTAATACCACAGTGACTCCTATTAGTTGAAACAGTATCTACCATAAGATACATGTACACGTAACATAAACTTACATGTAATACTACAGTGGCTCCTATTAGTTGAAACAGTACCCACCATAAGATAGGTGTACACGTTACATAAACTTAATACTACAGTGGATCCTATTAGTTGAAACAGTACCTACCATAAGATACATGTACACGTAACATAAACTTAATACTACAGTGACTCCTTTCAGTTGAAACAGTCCCTACCATAAGATACATGTACACGTAACATAAACTTAATACTATGGTGGCTCCTATAAGTTGAAACAGTACCTACCATAAGATACATATACACGTCACATAAACTTAATACTACAGTGGCTCCTATAAGTTGAAACAGTACCTACCATAAGATACATATACACGTAACATAAACTTAATACTACAGTGGCTCCTAATAGTTGAAACAGTACCTACCATAAGATACATATACACGTAACATAAACTTAATACTACAGTGGATCCTATTAGTTGAAACAGTACCTACCGTAAGATACATGTACACGTAACATAAACTAAATACTACAGTGGATCCTATTAGTTGAAACAGTACCTACCATAAGATATATGTACACGTAACATAAACTTAATACTACAGTGAGTCCTATTAGTTGAAACAGTACCTACCATAAGATACATATACACGTAACATAAACTTAATACTACAGTGGCTCCTATTAGTTGAAACAGTACCTACCATAAGATACATATACACGTAACATAAACTTAATACTACAGTGGATCCTATTAGTTGAAACAGTACCTACCGTAAGATACATGTACACGTAACATAAACTAAATACTACAGTGGATCCTATTAGTTGAAACAGTACCTACCATAAGATATATGTACACGTAACATAAACTTAATACTACAGTGAGTCCTATTAGTTGAAACAGTACCTACCATAAGATACATGTACACGTAACATAAACTTAATACTTCAGTGGATCCTATTAGTTGAAACAGTACCTACCATAAGATACATGTACACGTAACATTAACTTAATACTACAGTGGCTCCTATATGTTGAAACAGTACCTACCATAAGATACATATACACGTAACATAAACTTAATACTACAGTGGATCCTATTAGTTGAAACAGTACCTACCATAAGATACATATACACGTAACATAAACATAATACTACAGTGACTCCTATTAGTTGAAACAGTACCTACCATAAGATACATGTACACGTTACATAAACTTAGTACTATGGTGACTCCTATTAGTTGAAACAGTACCTACCATAAGATATATGTACACGTAACATAAACTAAATACTACAGTGGATCCTATTAGTTGAAACAGTACCTACCATAAGATACATGTACACGTAACATTAACTTAATACTACAGTGGCTCCTATATGTTGAAACAGTACCTACCATAAGATACATATACACGTAACATAAACTTAATACTACAGTGGATCCTATTAGTTGAAACAGTACCTACCATAAGATACATGTACACGTTACATAAACTTAGTACTATGGTGACTCCTATTAGTTGAAACAGTACCTACCATAAGATACATATACACGTAACATAAACTTAATACTACAGTGGATCCTATTAGTTGAAACAGTACCTACCGTAAGATACATGTACACGTAACATAAACTAAATACTACAGTGGATCCTATTAGTTGAAACAGTACCTACCATAAGATATATGTACACGTAACATAAACTTAATACTACAGTGAGTCCTATTAGTTGAAACAGTACCTACCATAAGATACATATGCACGTAACATAAACTTAATACTACAGTGGCTCCTATTAGTTGAAACAGTACCTACCATAAGATACATATACACGTAACATAAACTTAATACTTCAGTGGATCCTATTAGTTGAAACAGTACCTACCATAAGATACATGTACACGTAACATAAACTAAATACTACAGTGGATCCTATTAGTTGAAACAGTACCTACCATAAGATACATGTACACGTAACATTAACTTAATACTACAGTGGCTCCTATATGTTGAAACAGTACCTACCATAAGATATATGTACACGTAACATAAACTAAATACTACAGTGGATCCTATTAGTTGAAACAGTACCTACCATAAGATACATGTACACGTAACATTAACTTAATACTACAGTGGCTCCTATATGTTGAAACAGTACCTACCATAAGATATATGTACACGTAACATAAACTAAATACTACAGTGGATCCTATTAGTTGAAACAGTACCTACCATAAGATACATGTACACGTAACATTAACTTAATACTACAGTGGCTCCTATATGTTGAAACAGTACCTACCATAAGATACATATACACGTAACATAAACTTAATACTACAGTGGATCCTATTAGTTGAAACAGTACCTACCATAAGATACATATACACGTAACATAAACTTAATACTACAGTGGATCCTATTAGTTGAAACAGTATCTACCATAAGATACATGTACACGTAACATTAACTTAATACTACAGTGGCTCCTATAAGTTGAAACAGTACCTACCATAAGATACATGTACACGTTACATAAACTTAGTACTATGGTGACTCCTATTAGTTGAAACAGTACCTACCATAAGATATATGTACACGTAACATAAACGTAATACTACAGTGACTCCTATTAGTTGAAACAGTACCTACCATAAGATACATGTACACGTAACATAAACTTAATACTATGGCGACTCCTATAAGTCGAAACAGTACCTACCATAAGATATATGTACACGGAACATAAACTTAATACTACAGTGGCTCCTATAAGTTGAAACAGTACCTACCATAAGATACATGTACACGTAACATAAACTTAATACTACAGTGGCTCCTATAAGTTGAAACAGTACCTACCATAAGATACATGTACACGTTACATAAACTTAGTACTGTAATGTTTTTTTGATGGTTATGGTTACAAATCAGGAGAATCTTGTTGTATCAATGCATGTTTCACTCTGAAGGAAGCGTTGTGTGGATTTAGACGTTTGGCGGGAAAATAAGTGGCCGGGTCGAAAGTTATAGGGGTGACCGTAAGGGACTCTCTATGCTCCGTAAGGGTAATATATAGAGAACATCCCTATCAAGGAAATAGTGGTATCGACCACGAGTATATAAGAGAATGAGAAACGGCACTTGAGGCTGTCGGTTGGCTGTCGATGAGCTGTCATACTTCAACAGAGCGTACGTCGGATATATTAAGTGCTAGAAGAGCCTTGATATTCAGAGGACACTTTGTACTAGGTACAAAGTGGACGTACACGTTGATAGGATTGACATAGCAGACTGTCCCACTCGGAGGACAGGCTGTACCAGCCCGCACTGTCTGGTAGTGACAGACTGTCCCACTCGGAGGACAAGTTGTACCAGCCCGCACTGTCCGGAAGTGACAGACTGTCCCACTCGGAGGACAGGCTGTACCAGCACACACTGTCTGATACAGACAGACTGTACCAGCCATACTGTCTTTTAGTGACAGACCGTCCCATCTTGAGGACAGGCTGATTATTGTATTATATTTGTATATATATAATTGTCCGTTGTTACTTTATATCGGCAAAGAGTCAGTGTGTATATTTTAGTTCATTGTGCATAATATAGATAGTAATAGTATTGCCGTATTGTTTATGGACAGCTTGAATCCAAGTATTTACTGGAACGGACGTTTAAGATATAAACGCCTGGTTACACGTTACATATTTGGTGGCTAGCGGTTGGGATTCAAGTTGTCTATCAAATACTATTTGATTGATTGATTGTCACTAAATTTGTTGTCAGTTGACATCAGTGTTTATTTTAAAGATTAAAGCGGATCAACCGTGAGGCATAGTTGTAGTTCACGGCTGAGTTGTAACACGAGTGTATTATTTAATAAAAGATTATAACACTATAATTGTTTTATTTGACTTGCACTATACTGCAATGAATATGTTAAATATTGACGATCAGATTGCTGAAATAAGTAGACAAATACAGTCTCTTAGTGAAAGCACAATGCAACATGGACTTGGCTTTATATCTTCTACACCTAAAGATCAGGGTGTACGTACAAAGGTTATTGCAAATAAAGATCATGATTCAGGAGTAGTGACGACAGGGCCGTCTCTATCAGCACATAGTGGATTGGCCGTGGGTGATACACTGCCTTTGCCAGATGGGGATATCATATCAAATCCTCACATGAGTAATAGGAAATCCATAGGGCAAGATAAACAGTATTTAACCAAAAATCAAAGTACTGCTCATACTGTTTGCTCTGGTTCAAACGATGTTAAAATCAAACCATCAAAATATGATGGCAATACTCCTTGGATGGATTACTTATCACACTTTGAGATGTGTGCCCTAGTTAATATGTGGTCTGAACATCAAAAAGGTTTGTTCTTGGCCGTGTCACTGATTGGACAGGCTCAAGCAGTCCTTGGTGATTTACCAAAGGAAAAGAGACAAATATTTTCAGACCTAGTAAACGCACTGGAGGAACGCTTTGCTCCATCTAGTCAGACTGAACTCTATCGTGTTCAATTCAAGGAATGTCGACAAAAAGCAAGCGATACTTTGCCGGGGTTAGGTCAGTCTGTTCGAAGACTTTCTAATTTTGCCTACCCGACTGCCCCGTTAGAATTAAGGGACACGCTCGCTAAAGAACAATTTATAGATGCGCTAGTAGACTCAGAAATGAGACTGAGAATTAAACAGTCTCGTCCAAAAGGTCTTAACGAAGCTATACGGTTGGCGGTTGAGCTTGAAGCTTATAACAAGGCTGAGAGTAGAACACTGAAAAGTATGGGTCACTTACGACATACTACTAGTGACGAACGGACAGAAGCACCTAATAGTCCTGATATGACTGTATCTATGGGACAAATGACGACGTGGATGCAGAAGATTGAAAATAATTTACTGTCCTTAACAAAAGAGATTAAAGCATTAAAGTCCAAAAGAAAGTTCCAACTAAGGTGGAAGACCAATAACACTCAAAGCAACAGAAAAAGGGGTGGTCCTTGTTTCAGTTGTGGACAAATAGGACATTTTGCAAGAAATTGTCCCAATAATAACCAGAAACAAAGTACGGAGGGAACACATAAGAACAATTTTAAAACGGACGGTACGGTTAATACACTGAAGTCTGAAGTTAAATCTTCAAACAATGACAAAGGCGCTGTTGTTGTTTCAGCATCAGAAGATGCAGGAATGTTTGTTGAGTTGAGCATTCAAGATGTACCGGTCAAGTTTGTGGTTGATACTGGAGCTACGCTTACTCTAGTTTCTACAAGAGTGTATGATTCAATTCCTGACTTGTATAGACCGCATATGAGTAAAACTCAGTCACAGATTAAGTCCGTCTGTGACAACTATTTAAGCCTCAAGGGGAAGGATAGTTTTACACTTGATTTTGGTAAAGAGAAGTTTACTTCAGAGGCCGTTGTAACTGACCTACAAGTCGATGGTATTCTAGGTTTAGACTTTATGAAAACAAATAAGTGTTTGATTGACGTATCTGCTAACTTATTACACTTCGATAACTTTAAGGTTCCCCTGCTTTTTCAAGGTACTCAAAATAGAAAGGCTGATGTTCACAGAAACCCATGTCGGTTAACATCAGATAGACAGTTAAAAACGAACCGTGATTGTTCTAAGAGAGAACAAAGCCAGGTCAACATAGTTACAAGTCAGATACCAGACAAAGGTAAAGACTTGACTTTAATAGAGTTACAATCGAATGACTCGGACCTTAAACGTGTTAAGCGGTGGCTGACAGAGGGTCAAAGGCCACAATACAATGAGGTATCCAGTAAGGGATATTTTCTTAGGTCATTATGGAGTCAGTTTGGTTGTTTAGAGGTCCACGGTGATGTAGTAGTTAGACGCCACGACGATCGGGAACGGAACATTGTGAAATTACAAGCGGTAATTCCAATGTCGGAGCGCAAGCAAGTATTAGAATACTGCCATGACACAGAGTATGCTGGTCACTTAGGTACGCATAAGACTCTTGATAAAATACGCCAGTCTTTCTATTGGCCTGGTTTGCAATCTGAAGTGAGAGCATATGTCACTAGTTGCACTAAGTGCAACAGGAAAAAACGCCCAATGAAAAGGAAGCGTGCCTCAATAAGATTAGAGGAGGACAATGGTCGTCACGAGAGTAAGAGACCAGCCTGGATGGCTGATTATGTAAATAAGTAAAATTCAGATTGTGTATAAATGTTGTTGAATTAAATTTTGTAATTTTAAATGTATCATGCGGGACGCATGTAGATTGAGGCGTGGGTTATGTAATGTTTTTTTGATGGTTATGGTTACAAATCAGGAGAATCTTGTTGTATCAATGCATGTTTCACTCTGAAGGAAGCGTTGTGTGGATTTAGACGTTTGGCGGGAAAATAAGTGGCCGGGTCGAAAGTTATAGGGGTGACCGTAAGGGACTCTCTATGCTCCGTAAGGGTAATATATAGAGAACATCCCTATCAAGGAAATAGTGGTATCGACCACGAGTATATAAGAGAATGAGAAACGGCACTTGAGGCTGTCGGTTGGCGGTCGATGAGCTGTCATACTTCAACAGAGCGTACGTCGGATATATTAAGTGCTAGAAGAGCCTTGATATTCAGAGGACACTTTGTACTAGGTACAAAGTGGACGTACACGTTGATAGGATTGACATAGCAGACTGTCCCACTCGGAGGACAGGCTGTACCAGCCCGCACTGTCTGGTAGTGACAGACTGTCCCACTCGGAGGACAAGTTGTACCAGCCCGCACTGTCCGGAAGTGACAGACTGTCCCACTCGGAGGACAGGCTGTACCAGCACACACTGTCTGATACAGACAGACTGTACCAGCCATACTGTCTTTTAGTGACAGACCGTCCCATCTTGAGGACAGGCTGTTTATTGTATTATATTTGTATATATATAATTGTCCGTTGTTACTTTATATCGGCAAAGAGTCAGTGTGTATATTTTAGTTCATTGTGCATAATATAGATAGTAATAGTATTGCCGTATTGTTTGTGGACAACTTGGATCCAAGTATTTACTGGAACGTTCGTTTAAGATATAAACGCCTGGTTACACGTTACAGTACTATGGTGACTCCTATTAGTTGAAACAGTACCTACCATAAGATACATGTACACATAACATAAACTTAATACTATGGTGACTCCTATTAGTTGAAAATGTACCTACCATAAGATACATGTACACATAACATAAACTTAATACTATGGTGACTCCTATTAGTTGAAAATGTACCTACCATAAGATACATGTACACATAACATAAACTTAATACTATGGTGAGTCCTATTAGTTGATGCAGTACCTAGCATAAGATACATGTACACGTAAAATAAACTTAATACTACAGTGGCTCCTATATAAGTTGAAACAGTACCTACCATAAGAGGCATATAACATGCACTAAATACTATGGTGACTCCAACTAGTTGTACTAACATCTGACATTCATTGAAGCGTTTAGAATAACTACCATATTTGGATCTTCCGTATTGTGACACGTGTTGACATTGACGTTTTGTCAAGGTCAACATAACAGTTAAGTTACAGCAAACAGTAACACTAATGACGACAATGGATAATATCACGAATAAATAGTTAAATACTTTATCTACTCGGTCATTGGTGTAATAATCGACAAAACACCACGTTCTAGGATACTGTAGAACAAATTGTCCCAAGCCTAGGAATGGGAGTGCGGCAAAGCATGCTGCCATAGTCCAGCAGAATATCAAGATTATTGTAGCATGTTTTGTTGACGAACGAGTATTATATATAAGAGGATATTTAATACAAAACACCCTCTCTATAGACATGCTACACACTATCAGCATTGTTGCAAAACTGGCAAAGATCATCACATATCCGAAGTAGTTACACATCGCCGTCCCGCCTATCCATTGAAGGTTGTTTACATACACGGCTATTACAACAGGTGATGTAGATGTGATGCCCAGAAAATCGGTGATACAGAGTCCAGCTACTAATCGATAAAATATCGTTCTTTTCTGTTCAGGTTCAGATCTTATCAACACAATAAGAGCCAAAATGTTTCCTAAAACTCCTGCTCCAAACATTATTCCCGAATTAATTACCGTATTATTTTTATTTGAAGTAAATTCCGTTTCGTTGGTATGAATATAAGGTAGAACTGCTGATGATTGTGGACTGCCACTAGTGTTCCCAATGACACCAAACATCAAATAATTGTATCCTTTGTCGTAGGCAGATCTATGTTACATATCATTAGAGATATCATGTATAGTAATTGTGTAAACTGTGCAAACTTGACCAGTAAAAGGTAAAATGAATCTTTTTGGTCAATTACTTAAAAAAAATAATGATAGTTTAAACAAACTTGAGTTCAGCTTAGTGAATTTGATCAATTAACAGTTCTATTGCGAATTTGAAAGCGTCAAAAAGTCATATGAAATAAATGTACAAATCTCATAACAAAAGACAAATGTACTTTACGATGATTTTGTTTCCCGGAAAACAAAAATAGTTGTCGGAAACAACCTACAACAATTTTACAATACAATTTAAAAAAATATGTGCTAAAACTGAATTAAATTACCGTCCTTTCATACTAAATTATAAGCCTGGAATGAGTTTTTTTTTCTATTATAACTATGTAGGTGGGTTAACCATGTAACACAGTGGAGGTGTGAAAACATTGCTTCATAGCTCCACCTAATTATCATAATACAGTAGTAAGTAAATTATATACAAAGGTACAACATTTCACAGGATTACTAGATATAATTATAAGGTCATTTTTGGTCACATGACGTGTAATTGCAGTTTTTTTTTTTATTTTCAAAATAAGATAGGTCCTGAAAAGTGGGTTAAGTCAGGGAATGGGCATCCTATTATCTAACCTATAAATAAAATTCAGCTCAATCTGTAGAAATTGATATTTGAACTTGTTTAATTAGTGTGGGACTGAAACTTGAACATCTGTTTAACACTCTCATCCAGACTGATTAATGTTTATCATATCTGTTGTATGACAATTAGTTATTAATGTAACATTAAAGAGGGTCTACATGGTGGTCAATGTAACATTAAAGAGGGTCTAAATGGTGGTCAATGTAACATCAAAGAGGGTCTAAATGGTGGTCAATGTAACATTAAAGAGGGTCTAAATGGTGGTCAGTGTAACATTAAAGAGGGTCTAAATGGTGGTCTATGTAACATTAAAGAGGGTCTAAATGGTGGTCAATGTAACATTAAAGAGGGTTTAAATGGTGCTCAATGTAACATTAAAGAGGGTCTAAATGGTTGTCAATGTAACATTAAAGAGGGTCTAAATGGTGGTTAATGTAACATGAAAGAGGGTCTAAATGGTGGTCTGTGTAACATTAAAGAGGGTCTGAATGGTGGTCAATGTAACATTAAAAAGGGTTTAAATGGTGGTCAATGAACCATTAAAGAGGGTCTAAATGGTGGTCTCCATTTCTGTATTCTTTATATTTTTTGCCCATTATTCCATATTCTTTATATTTTCGCCCAGTATTCTCTATTCTTTATATTTTAGCCCAGTATTCTTTATTCTTTATCATTTTGACCTATTTTTCTTTATTATGCTCATGTTATTGTAGACTTGGCACATTTTCCCCTATTCTTTATATTTTTGCTTATTATTCGTTATTCTTTATATTTTTGCCCATCATTCCCTTTTCTTTATATTTTAGCCCAGTATTCTTTACTATTTTCCGTAATTTTCTCTATTTTGCTTATTTTTCGGTAAATTTGGCACATTATTCTATATTCTGTAAACCCCATCCAGACCCTCATTAAATCTTTGTAATTAATTGCTTAAGATGAAAATACCTATCGATTTATTCTATTAGTATTAATTTTCTGTTTCATAATCGGAACAAAGGAGAAAAAAAAAGAGAATTGGGTTGAAGGACTGGAACGAAAATTCTTTTCTATGCCCGTGAGTTTAGAACTAAGTCTTAACACACTGTATAAGCACCAGTCTATTATGATCTATTGTTCATTCTAATATAACGCTCTTCTTTTGCTGTGTTAACAAAATCATGTTCTAATTCCTATAGTAAATGAGGTGCACATGCGTGTCGTCACAATTTAAATTGCAACCTCAGTTATATTTTAACAACGCCGGAAATCAAAATGGCCATTTTTGTTAGTGTTGCTTGCTATGAAATGAAATAAAATCTTTTTACAAAATAAGTCTCCTTATAATAGTATCTGTTCTCTTTATAACCGCAAAACGTTGGTTTTCTTCATAAAATCAAAATGGCTGCCTCTCGAACATTATTTATAGGTACTCTTCGAAATGCAAAAAGTGAATATTCCTATCAGAATCGAAACAATTCTATGATGCCATGCTCTACGCTCAATTTAATTAACATGGGTAGGCATTATATTTGTTGATATTTTTAAACAGAGCGGCGACGTATTTTTAATAATGTTGTGTGTTCTGTATGATTTGGCGTTTTTTGTATGATGCGGCGTTTATTGTAAAATGCGGCGTTTTGTGATGATGTGGCGTATTTTGAATGATGTATCATATTTTGTGTGATGTGGCGTATTTTGTATGATGCGGAATATTTTGAATGATTTAGCGTATTTTTTAAAAAGCGGTTTATTTTGTATGTTACGGCTATATTGTATGATGCGGCGTATTTTGTCTGATGCGGCGTATTTTGTATGATGTGGCGTATTTTGTATGATGCGGTATATTTTATATCCCACGCAACGAGTTGCGGAGGGTATAATGATTTTTACCCGTCCGTCTGTCCGTCCGTCAGTCCGTCAGTCCGTCAGTCCTGTTTCTTGTCATCGCAACTCCTCTCAAACCACACAACATAATTTCACGAAACCTTTTTAGATAATAAGGACATACTATGTAGTTGTGCATATCGACAGGAACTTACGATTCAATTCTTTTTCTAGGAGTTACGCCCCTTTGAACTTATTTACTTTAATGTACTACTGCAACAGTTTGTCATCGCAACTCCTCTCAAACCACACAAAACAGAATTTCATGAAACCTTTTCAGATAATAAGGACATACTACGTAGATGTGCATATCGACAGGAAATTACGATTCAATTTTTTTCCAGGAGTTACGCCCCTTTGAACTTATTCGCCCAATATACTACTGCAATCTTTTGTCATCGCAACTCCTCTCAAACCACACAACATAATTTCATGAAACCTTTTCAGATAATAAGGACATACTACGTAGATGTGCATATCGACAGGAAATTACGATTCAATTTTTTTCCAGGAGTTACGCCCCTTTGAACTTATTTGCCCAATATACTACTGCAACCTTTTGTCATCGCAACTCCTCTCAAACCACACAACAGAATTTCATGGAACTGTGTAGATAATAAGGACATACTATGTAGATGTGCATATTGACAGGGAATTATGATTCATTTTTTTTTTCTGATACAATATTTTTTTCTTACACTTATTATATTTCTCCAATGACAATGTGGGGACGTGGGGTATGTGAGCGCGCTCACTAAGGTTCCTTCATGTATAATGTGGCGTATTTTGTATGATGAGGCGGTATCTGTATCATGCTGCGTATTTTGTATGATGCGGCGTATTTTGTATGATGCTGCGTATTTTGTATGCTGCAGCGTATTTTGTCTAATGTGACGTATTTTGTCTGATGCGGCGTTTTTTGTATGATGCGGTATATTTTGTATGATGTGGCGTATTTTTTATGATGTGGCGGTTTCTGTATCATGCTGCGTATTTTGTATGATGCGGCGTATTTTGAATATTACAGGGGTCTTTTGTATGACGGAGCGTATTTTAATTGATGCAGCGTATTTTGTATGATGCGGCATATTTTGTATAATGCGGCGTATTTTGTATGACGCGTCGTATTTTGTATGATGCTGCGTATTTTGTTTAATGTGGCGTATTTTGTATGTTGCTGCATATTTTGTATAATGCAGCGTATTTTCAATATTGCAGGTTTTTTTTATATGATGGAGCATAACTTGTATGATGCGACGTATTTCAATATTGCAGGGGTATAATGTATGATTCGGCTATTTTTTTTATGGGGTTTATTTTTGTGTAATGCGACAGTATTGTACGATGTCACGTTTTTTGTATGATGTCGCGGATTTTGTATGATTCGGCTATTTTGTATGATGTGGCGTATTTTGTATGATGCAGCGTATTTTATATGATGCACTGTATCTTGTATGCTAAGGCGTATTTTATATGATGCGGCGTATTTTGTAAGATTTGGCGTTTTTTGTATAATGCGGCGTATTTTGTATGATACGGAGTATTTTGTATGATGCGCCGTATTTTGTGTAGTGCGGAGTATTTTATATAATACGGCGTATTGTGTATGATGCGGCATATTGTATTTGTACGATGTGGTGCATTTGTATGCTGCAGCGTATTTTGTATGATTCAGCGTATGATTTAGCGAATTTTGTATGATGCGGCAGGTTTTGTATGCTGCAGTGTATTTTGTATGATTCAGCGTATTTTGTATGATGCGGCAGGTTTTGTATGATGTGGCTTGTTTTGTATGCTGCAGTGTATTTTGTATGATATGGAGTATTTTGTATGATGCGGCGTATTTTGTATGATGCGGCAGGTTTTGTATGATATGGCTTGTTTTGTATGCTGCAGTGTATTTTGTATGATTTGGAGTATTTTGTATGATTTGGAGTATTTTGTATGATGCGGCGTATTTTGTATAATACAGCGTATTTTGTATGATGTTACGTATTTTGATTGACGCGTCTATTTTTAGCCATATGATACTAGAGGATAAGCAATCAAAAACAAACAATATCCTGAATTCTTTGTATCGTTTTGTTTCTGTCTCCTTTAGGTATACCCAATATTATCTTATATTCATATATAGATCGAAGAACATGGTAAGTTTAAACAAGACATACCAAGACGTCTGTTTTGGAAAATTTGTGTTGATTTTTTGGGGGTTGCGTGCACCGCACATCTCTTTTAATTCCTGTCGAAATAATTTCTGATTTTATTTAATATCGAATCGTCTGCACATCTGACTTTGATTAACTATCGAAGGGTTTGTACGTCTGACGTTGATTAACTATCGAAAGGTCTGTACGTCTGACGTTGATTAACTATCGAAGGGTCTGTACGTCTGACATTGATTAACTATCGAAAGGTCTGTACGTCTGACTTTGATTAACTATCGAAGGGTCTGTACGTCTGACTTTGATTAACTATCGAAAGGTCTGTACGTCTGACTTTGATTAACTATCGAAAAGTTTATACGTCTGACTGTGATTAACTATCGAAGGGTCTATAC